GCTGGCCCCAGTGCCAGCTCCAAAGTGAAGTCAAGGTTAGATGCAGGGTTGGGAACAGTGCAAATCTGGGGCAATGAGGTGACATGCAGAGTTTTTAACATAAGGTATCCAAACTGTGTTCATCATGTAGAAAATAAGGTTCTCCTCTCCCAGCCTGAATTCATAGAACTTTCCTCTAATTGAAGAATGGAATATAGGCTGAAATGGTTAGGCCCATCTGTATTTTCATTTGACAGAGGGCAAGAATATGAAATCTTTCCGCTCCTTTGGCCACCCTTTCAAGCTTCTGGAAGAAGTATGGCTTTACTGCAACTGTAGTTATTGGACTGCCCTCCCAATTTTCATCAGTACTGCAGAAACAATGTCAGGGACCTGGGGGTTTTTGAGCTCATTCTGGAACCACGACACTATTAGGAAAGAAATAATATAGAAAGGAAGGCAGACACTTCAGATACCCTGCATTTTTTTCCACTTGGAAATGAGGAATTCATTTTACTTTAAATGTATTTCCAAGCTTCATTCTGAAACAAACCTCTGGTGGGATGAGGAGGGGGAAGGAAGCAAAGGCCAGACACGAACCAGAGCCTAGTGACAAAGACTTTAAATCCTGACACAGCTAGACCTGAATTATGGAAGAGGACCAGGAGGTTGATAGGCAGTTAGTCGGAGAAGATATAGATGCAGCCAGAAAAACATAGCTAGCATAGTTATTTAAGTCTTTAGGGCTATAACGATTTTGAAAGTTTATGGAAGGTAACAGAGGCCTGACACACACCAATGTCCAATGTCCAATGCTCAATAACATTCTAAGACCCTTTGTTTATAAAAGCTAAAGGGTTCAAAATGACTGAAGTATCCAGTATTTTACACAGAATCCTTTTTTCTACTCAGTAATTCCCCATCTTTCTAAACCACATCATGTCTTGTCATTTTCATTAGCAAAGCATCTTAAGAGAGCCAGGACTTCAATAAAACTCTGTAGATTTCGACATGAGGCAGCAGGGCTTTCAAACAACAGGATTAGAATATCCATCTTGTTTTAAGAAGTAAAGTACATTTATTAAAGTAAAACAGACACAAGAGGAGGATGTTAGCCAAAACCTATCCCCAGGACTTGCTCATCAGGGAACTCCAGACTTTTCAGTCTTACACTAGAGCCAGCAGGAGGAATCCTCACGATGATAGTAATTAAAGTTTATTTTAAAATGAGATTTATTCTGGCAGGATGTTGAGAAATCAAATGAACAATGATTCACTATTACAACTCTCCTAGGGAAAAAACACTACATACGTGCTTATAAAACATATCTGGAATGCACAGGAGAAAAATCAGTGCTTGTGATCAAACTAGCAATGAAGGAACTGGAGCCTGTAGGCTCACTTTTTTTTTGGAAGGGGGCTAAAATTCAATGAAATATTGAAATGCTTTGCCAATTTGAATATGACACTGACAAGTCCCTGGTCCTTGTTTCCATGTTTCCTTAAAATATATGTCCCACGCAGCCTATCTGAAGAACAAGCTTACTGAACATGACTAGGAAGTTAAAGGCAGGTGAGGACTTTAGTCCAGCCCCCTCATTTTACAAATGAGGTCAGGCGACTTGCCCACATCGACCAGTTAGTGGCAGGTCTAGAAAGAGAATGAACATCTCCCAACTTCCAAAGTGGGGCTCTCCCCTTTGCATCTAGGTGGCCCCTGGCTCTGAAGTGCCTACTCCTGCTAACAGTCCCAAGGACTGCAAAACAGGAGGAGACATGGTCCCTTTCAGAGCTCACAACCTAGCTGAAGAAGCAAGATGTTCACACCTGAGAAATAGAAGAAAAACATAAAATGGGAGAGGCTAAGTTCTTAAGCAGGGGTGGGGAACGTCCAGACCAAGGGCGATATATCATTTGGTCTGGCCCTGCCAAGGCAACCACAGGCGGGACTTAGAATTCAATAAATCTAAGAGCTTTTTTCATAGCTAACTTTTAAGTTAATAATTTTGTATGGCACACAAATGATGTGATAAATATCCAAATCGCCCTTGGCAGAAAAAGTTTCCCCACTCCTGTTCTAAAGGATGTACTGGGTGAATGTCAGAGGTAATAATCAAAGTTCCCCTTTCCCACAGTTATCTTATTGCCTGTGGCCCTCCACCTGCAGAGTCTGGGCTGTTTACTGCTTCAGGGAGGGTGGGGGCAGACAGACCCATTAGTCAAGTTTCTGAGTGTATATATCTTTTCAAATCATAGTGGAGGAAACAGTCTAGAAGGCTCTCTATTGCAAGGCCTGGATTTGGGAGACAGAAAAGGCTTTCTGAGCAAAGAAAGGCCAAAATCTTGTGCAGAGGGTTCAGTCCATGAATCTAGTGCAGAAGCAGTGTGATGCTAAAAGGGCAGCTCTTCCAGCTCAGGAGATGTCCAGCTGGGGCTTCTGGTGAAAGGAAGAAGACTGGTAGGTACCTGACCAAAGTCTGGATGCCAGAGATTTCTGAGAAAGGATCATGTACTAGACTTCTCCTGTGCTGAAAGCCACAGTGGTGGAATCCCAGAGCACAGTGGTCCTGGGCCTTCACTTGCCAGAGGTGAGGGTGGCTGCTCAAGATTGAAGTTCAGCTCAATTACAGAGAAATACAGCAGTTCTACTTTTATACCTGAGCATGTGACTGTAAAAATTCATACTTACTATAATAGGAGGTTCTTACATAGTTTAACATTAAATGTTATAATCCAATTGATGGTAATCCCTTAGGCATGTCATCTCATAGGAAGACTTCCAGCTTCTGAATCTAGGTTATCTGTGATCCCCACATAGTTTAGCCAAACTATGCTCAAGCCTGAAATGTTAAATATGGAAATCACAGAGGAAGCCCAATTCTCCCAATAGTAGACAAAGGAAAGATTTCTCACAACTACTCTTGTTACAAAGAAGGAAAAATCAGTCTTCCAAGCACATGTGGAACAGCTCAGCTTCACTACCAAACCCAGAACCTAGGTATGTGCCCTGACTGGGAATTGAACCCACAACCTTGTGGTGTATGGGATGATCCTCCAACCAACTGAGCCACACTAGCCAGGGAGAAAAACGCTATGCTTTAAATCTACTTGGAAAATATTTTTATTATTGCAGCCCTGTTGAATTTATGCTTCAAAGGATATACTTAAAAGGACAGACTTAAAAACATTTTTTTTCTTTTCAGAAAGGGTCCACTCTGTTATCTTTCACTCACTGTTTAAGGGGCCTTCTCCTGAGTATGGGTGTGGCCAGGATTTATATTCCTGCCTGGGAGGAAATGCAAGCCAGGCAACATACTGGGCAAAGACAGCCAAGGGCCCACCTTTATCCACTCACCCCTTCTTCCTGCTATGCGAACAAGGATGTGATGGCTATGCTGGAGGCAGCTGTTTTGTGACTCTGAGGCAACCCTGAAGATGGAAGCCAAAAGTCAAGGATGGTGTAGAACAATGATTAAAGGGGTTTCTACACCATGCCTACACTGCCCCCTCTGGACTTTTATTAATGTTAGAGAAAAACAAACCCTTACTTGTTCAAGTCTTTATTTTTTCTCTATTATGTGTAGCCAAATACATTTACTAATTGAAATATGAAACACATATAAATATATATCCTCACTTGCCAAGAAGCCCACACTGAAGAGTGAGACAGAAATCACCAAATATTTAAAGAGAAAATAAAGAGCAATAAAAGGCTATTGATCCCAGTTGCACCAAGAGAAATTCCAATTCAGAGATCGCAATTAAAATGATGGAGAGGAAAACATCCCAAACCAAATTACCTGTTTGCCTAACAAGAGAGGTGCTTTACTGTGACCCAGAGGACTGGCTTGAGAACTATGAATTGAGAAAAGGCTTTGGGCAACTGTTTTATACACATCACTCTTTAAAAAAATATAGTCTCTGGGCAAAACAGTGCCAAGAAAATGGTGGCACACAGAGAGAGAGTTTGAGAGCATCCTTTGATTTTAGGAATGCAAAAGCTTCAGGGAGTGAATGCAAATCACTGGAGCATTATTCTCATTATTACTAATGGTTCTTAATAACTAAGGGGCAATATTGAGTCTCCAGTTGGCTGAAATAACCAGAAATTGCTCCTTGTAGCTATGTTAATAACTAAATATAATTTGACACTAAATTACAATTTCAGATTTACAACTTTCTGCACAGTCTCTTATTGCAAAGGAAACCTAAGCCAGAACATCAGTGAAAAGAATAACTCAATTAAGTGTCTTTCCAATTGGGAACTATTTAGAAATGAGAGTTTAACAGGCTAGTGAGATAATAAATATTGAATTGTTTTGTCCTGATTTTAAAAAATCAGGACTTTATCACAGAACTTTTTTGTTGTTGTTATCTTAAAATAAGTGTTTAATCAGTCTGAATTACTTTGGTCATTTATACAGTGATCTTAATCACTGTAAACTGTTCAAGGCCTAATTTCCCATGAATAGATTCACACTTGTAATTTAATATTTAATAAAGAGGCACCTTTTTCTATACTCAAAGTGTGTTTATAAACATAGTCCCAATAATTTTTTAACCATATATAATAATTACCTATGATATCTGAGGAAATTTGCCCAACAGATAAGTTAGGGCCACCCCATGGATCCAATTAATGTGCTCTGAGCTATCAGCCTTCAGGCAGTAGGTATTTGATATACGTTTGTTGAATGAATGGGTAACTTCAGATTCTTTAGAGAAGGTGTTTTAGAAGCATTTGTGCTAATAAAGCCTGAGCTAGTTCCCCTAGGCTGAATTTCCATAGGGAAAGTAGTGGCATATCTAGACGTGCAACTAAGGTAAAATCAAATTTTCCAGGGAAAGCCTCCACTTCCAAAGTTAGAGGATGTTATCTTATATTCTTTGGCAAGGATACCTTTGGTGAGTCTTACTATTAAAGCATGGGTCACATAGATGGCTTTCTCTTCATGTATAGATGGAACTGACCCCTGAGGGACTGTGAAGACAATGCTGAAGGACATTTAAACCATACTTACTGCTGGTGGAGGACATGTGGCTGTAGTCAGACCTGAAACACAAAACCTTAGTATTAGTAGGGTTAAACATTTTTTTCTTTACCTAAATGATTTCTCCAAGTTAGAATTTTAAAGTCAGTGGCAAGTAGCATTTAACTGGTAAAGGATGTCACAAATTAAAAACTATAGTGTTAGCATTGCTTGTGCAAAATAAATTTAAATCTGAATTTGAAAGCAAAACTTTAAAGGTACTTTAGAAATCAGTCCCAATCTGATTGCCAATACCCTTTGGGTCCCAATCAAGATAGCAGAGTTGGTGGATGCTACACTCACTTCCTCCCATGACCACATCAAAATTACAAACAAATTATAGAACAATCAATCTGGTGAATCATCTGAAGGATAGCTGAATAGAAATCCTATAACTAAGGATATAAAAAAGAAGCCACATAGAGACTGGTAGGAAGGGTAGAGACACAAAATGGGCTGGCCCTGCACCCACACGTGGCAGTTGAGAATCTGAAGAGGCATTTCAGCTGCAGAAGTCCTCTCCCTTTTAGGAGCAGGGGGTCTCAGCCCCAAAGCAGATCCCTATCTCTGAACACCAGTGCCAGAAGAGTAGCTCACATAACATCTGGCAGTGAAAATCAGCAAGGGTTCCATCCCTCTGGGTGAGATGGAGCGCTGCTGGAAACCCAGGTGTCCTCTTAAAGGGCCAAAGCAGAAACTCTCACTCACTTGCAGGGCACTCACCTTGGGCTCCATGAAGGGACAGCAGCTCAGGGGGTGCTACAGACATATAGGGAGAACCTTAGTTGTGTGCCTTCAGGGCAGGGCTGAAGGGACGACAGCCACTGTCCCTGTGTTGAGACTTCCCTGCACACGGCCTAAACTTAATCTGCATTAGCCAAGTGCACTCCGCTAGCTCTACCCTGATGACTTTCTGAGACACTGCCCTATCCAACCTGCATAAAGGCCAGGTTCTCTCAGAGCCAACCACCCTGGTCCTGCACTGCAATCTTTCTTAAAAAATTCTCAAGGAATTCCATCAAGCTTGAAGGGTGCTAGAAACATTTAGGAAAAAACTGAGTTATATGGCTTCTGGGCGAGGGTTGGAGGGACAGCCTCCATTGTCCCTGTGTTGAGCCCACACCCCATATGACCAAATCTGAACTGATATCAGCCTGGCAAACTCCACTAGCTCCACACTACCTGAGACCCCACACTACCACAAGGATCCACAGAACATGGGCGGGTGGCAGCAGGCCTCAGTGTACCATGAATCTTTTGGTGAAGGGGTTGGCCCAGTGCTTCATGCAAATCTGAACCTATATTAGCCTGCTGAATGCCACTCTCCCAACCCTGGTAACTCCCTGAGACCCTGCCTCACACAACTTGGGTGCTTCCTGGAGCTCTTTCAGTGGTTGGGCCTTACAGGCATCTGGAAAATAGAGGCAGGTTTTGGGATGCCTTGGGTCTTTTGTTCACCTGCCCCAAGCCTGGAACTGGTGGCAGCTAGCCTTAGATTTGGGGCCCCTGCCACGTGAATCCAGGCTCAGTACAGGGAACTACAAACCATGAATCACATCATAGCTCAAAACAGGTAGCCCTGGGATCATCACAGGCAGCGTCTGACATTGGCCTGTATCAAAGTCCCTCCCAAGAGGCCCCAGCTTCAGAAAACAACAGAGTGCCAAAAAATTATCTTCACAATCAGCACGCGCAAAGGGAGGTCTTGGCAGGCACCAGACACCTTTGCAGCGAATTCTGTTCCATGGAGTCATCCCCTGCAAAGCAGCTCATAGGCTGTAGTTATGGCCAATCCTCATAGCCAACCAGCCAGACTGAGGGTAAAACCCACCTACTAAGGCATCAAAAGTAATCAAAGCTTAACTACAACAGGAGGGTACACACAACCCACATAAGTGACACTCCTAGAGTACCAGGCTCAGATGATCAGGGAGACTGCACCACTGGGCCCCACAGGACACCTATTACATAAGGTCACCCTTCAAGACAGGGAGATGCTGCAGATCTACCTAATACATAGAATAAACAGAGAATTTAAAAAAATGAGGATAGTTTAAGGGACCCCAGGAAAAACATCAAGTGTAACAACATTATCATATGGGTATCAGAACAAGAAAAAGGAGAGCAAGGGAATGAGAACAAATTTTTAAAAATAATGACTGAAAAACAAAACAAAAAGCAATGACTGAAAATTTCCTTAACCTGGCAAAAAAATAAAAATTAAAAAAACCATAGAAGTCAAGGAGTGCAGAGAATCCCAAACAAGATGAACCCAAAGAGGCCCACACCAAGACACATCATAATTAAAATGCCAAAGGTTAGCCCGACCTAGTGTGGCTCATTGTTGGAACATCGACCCATGAACCAAGGAGTCTACAGTTTGATTCCTGGTCAGGGCACAAGCACAAATTTCGGGCTCGGTCCCCAGTAGGGGGCATACAAGAGGTAGGCAATCAATGTCTCTCTCTTATCGATGTTTCTCTATCCTTCTCCCTTCCTCTCTCTCTAAAATAAAAAAATATTTAAAAAGAATGCCAAAGGCTAAAAACAAGGAGATACTTTCATTTATTTCAGAGAGAGGACAGGAGAGGGAAAGAGAGAGATAGAAACATCAATGNGAGATACTTTCATTTATTTCAGAGAGAGGACAGGAGAGGGAGAGAGAGAGATAGAAACATCAATGATGAGAGAGTCATTGATTAAGCCCACAACCCGGGCATGTGCCCTGACCGGGAATCGAACCCTGATCGCCTGGATCCTAGGTCGACACTCAACCGCTGAGCCATGCCTGGCTGGGCAAGGAGGTACTTTTAAAAGCAACAAAAGAAAGACAATTAGTTACCTAGAAGGAAGCTTCCATAAGACTGTCGCTGATTTCTCAACAGAAACATTTTAGGCCAAAGGAATTGGCATGAAATATTCAAAGTTATGAAAACCAAGGGCCTATAACCAAGATTACTTTACCCAGCAAGTGTATCATTTAAAATTGAAGGAGAAAGAGATTCCCAGACAAGAAAAAGCTAGAGCAGTTCATTACCACCAAATCTGTATTACGAGAAATGTTAAAGGGACTCCTTTAAGAAGAAAGAAGAAAAAGGAACATAATTATAAGGAATAAAATAGCAATAAATACCTATCAATAATCATTTTAAATGTAAATGGCTTAAATGCTCCAATAAAAAAACATAGGGTAGCGCAATGGATAAGAAAACAAGACCCATATATATGCTCTCTACAAGAGACCCACCTCAGAATAAAAGATACACAGAAACTAAAAATAAAGGGATGAAAAAATATATTTCATGCAAATGAAAACAAAGCAAAAGCTAGGGAGCAATACTTATATCAGACCATCTAGACTTTAAAACAAAGCGTATAATAAAAGACAAAGAAGAACATTACATAATGATAAAGGGATCACTTCAACAAGAGGATATAACCTTTGTAAATATATACATACCCAATGTAGGAGCACCAAAACGTATAAAACAAATATTGACAAACATAAAGGGGGAAATTGACAGTAATACAGTCATAGTAGTGGATTAAATAGCCCATTGACATAAATGGATAGATCTTCTAGACAGAAAATCAACCAGGAAACAATGGCCTTAAACAACACACTAGACCAAATGGATTTAATTAATATTTTCAGAGCATTTGACCCAGAACATACATTCCTTTCAAGTTAATTCTTGCTTGGAACATTTTCCAGGATAAACCACATTAGGCCACAAACAAGTCTCAATAAATTTAAGGAGACTGAAATCATATCAAGCATCTTCTCCAGCCACAGTGGTATGAAACTAGAAATCAATCACAAGGAAAAAACACACACAAAAAACCACACACACACAAACACCTGGATGCTAAATAAAACACTACTCAACAATGAATAGGTTAACAATAAGATCAAAGAAGAAATCAAAAGATACCTTGAGACAAATGAAAATGAAAACAAACAACACAAAAATCTGAGAAAGAGCAAAAGCAGTCCCAAGAGGGAAATTCACAGCATTATAAGCCTACTTCAAGAACTAAGAAAAATCTCAAATATACAATCTAACCTTACACCTAAAGGAACTAGGGAAAAAACACAAAAAAACTCAAAATGAGTCAAAGGAAAAAAATAATAAAGGTCAGAGCAAGAATAAACAAAATACACTAAAAAAACAAACCCACAAAAAACCCAAGAGATCAATGAAACCAATGGCTGGTTCTTTGCAAAGATAAACAAGATTAATAAATGTTTATTTCTTATTTATTTACTTTTTAAAATATGTCTTTATTGATTTCATAGAGAGGAAGGGAGAGGGAAAGGGAGAGATAGAAACATCAGTGATGAGAGTCATTGATCGGCTGCCTCCTGCATGCCCCCTACTGGGGATTGAACCCGCAACCTGGGCCATGTGCCCTGACTGGGAATCGAACTGCAATCTTCTGGATCATAGGTCGATGCTCAACCACTGAGCCATGCTGGCTGGGCAAGATTACTAAACCTTTAACCAGACTCATCAAGAAAAAAAAAAGAGATGATGATCCAAATAAATAAATTCAGAAATTAAAGAGGAGAAATGACAACTGACAACAGAGAAATACAAAGGATCAAAAGAAAATACTACAAACAATTATATGCCAACAAACTGGACAATCTGGAAGCAATTGGTAAATTTGCAGATACGCAGTTTTTCAAGACTGAATCAAAAGAAACAGAAAATCTAAACAGACCAATTACTGCCAACAAAATTGAATCAGTTATTAAAAAAACTCCTAATAAGCAAAATTCCTAGACTGGATAGCTTCACAGGTGAATTTTACCAAACATTCAAAGAAGAATTAACACCTCTCCTCAAATTATTCCAAAAAATGCAAGAGGAGGAGAGGCTTCCAAGATCATTTTAGGAGGCCAGCATTACTCTGATTTCAAAACCAAACAAAGACATTACAAAGGAAGAAAATTATAGGCTAATATCCCTGATGCAAAAATCATATCATAGATGCAAAAATCCTCAACAAAATATTA